CAGAAATATCTGCAATCTGTTGTATGGATTAGTAATCAGGACCTGATACTAACAGTACCACACAGAGGAAACTATTTTTTCCACAAAGTATAACTTACAATGAAATTGGGTTTTTTTAACAGACTCCTGCGGCATAACTGACATGCAATCGAGCCCACTTCATTGACAGTATAAGGAGGGAATTAGTGTGCAAGTCCTGTTTAAAATTTTGCTCTTACAAAATTCCTGCTAGTATGGTACAATGTACATGTATCTGAACTACTGGTAAAGTTTATCCAGAAATATTGTCAGGCAACACTGCCCCAAACGGCTTGACATAAAGCAATAATACTATATATTTGTGGGAACAAATACTGTATTTCAGGCGGTCAATTTTTTTCAGTAAAGAAAATGACGCAAACTTTTTAATGCAACTTGCAGATGTATAATCTTTTAGCATAATATAATAATAATAATATATAATAAATAATAATTATGAAATTGGGCTTGCATTTACTTCCTATCTTGTAATCAATGACCTCTTGAAACTGACAAAAATAATAATTGTTTCCTCAATAATTTATTGTGCGACAAAAACTTAAGTTATTAAATTTTGTTAAAACAGAACTGATTGTATCATTCCAATGAGATGTGTGTTGAACTACACATTACGAATTCTTTTTACATCACTTTTCTGTGGATTTAAGCTGCATGGTTTATAAAACAAATTCAAGTTACTAGTTATCCTATCAACATTTTCCTGTACAAAGTGACTGATAGAACACAGCTTCACAAAGTTGATAAAAGGAACATATGACTATTCTGCACTCAGTTCATCTAGTGAGACAATAGGAAGACAACCTGATGACAAGTTTATACCACGTAGTATAGACAGTAAGCTATATTAACTCTGGTTGCTTTTAGCACTCTGTTATTAATCCTAGAGAAGGGTTAGCCTTAATATCACTCCGATCGACTAATTTAGCTTAGGTTAGCCTTTGCTGTACTGTAACATGTAATTTTGCGGTTAGGGATTTATACATGTTGCCAAACATTTCCAGGAGCCTGGTATTTTTAGTGGGCATGATTCTCGCCAGGTAAATCCGCTGTTCCCGAGCCAAGTGTGATTTTCTAACTCAAGTCTCCTTACATGACTGAGTGCTGAATGTCAAGTGCTCCCTTCCTCTACTACTTGGACTGCTATGTTACTGAAGGCATTTACATGTAGTCCTTTCACAAGATAGATAATTCCTGCTCTACTTGTGTCCTATTGGCGGCTTTTCAGGTGCAATAAATAAAATGCCATATTCAGTTATTATAAATTAAAGTATTACAAACAAGAAAGGACCGCCAAATGAAAAAAAACATGAAGTTTTTATGCATGAAATTTAAAAGATAATATTGTTTTTAAAATGACTTAAATAGCACAGGTCCAGCCTTTAAAAAGACTACGTAAAATGTTGTACAGTGGAAGCTCCCGTAAGCGGACACCCCTTGGGAAGCAGAAAAAAGTGTCCCCAACTGCAGCTGGCTGCTTATGGTAATGTGTAAAGTTTGCATGAGCTAAGAAGTTCAAACAAGGTTTCTGGGTTTTGTCAAGGCGGCCATAAGTAGAGCTGTTTGCACTTACAAGAGTGTCCGCTCAGAGAGCTTTGACAGTATTGACTATAATGTTACAATTATATATTATGTTGATGCCACATGACTTTTATAACTGCACTTCAGCAGACTAAAAAATAACTATGATTGTATGTACAACAGTACTAAGAAAAAACACTGCAACAACTTAGTACTCTAAGCTACATGATCAACATGTACATGATCACATGTCCAATAAACTTGAATGTCTGTTCTTGGAAAAGCCACGTTCTTTAGAATCAAGTAGTAAAACCATGTGGGTCAGTTGCAAACATAATAATATAATCCCATTTGTTCACATTTTGATGCTACAGTACAGCAAATGTCGACAGCAATGTCAAATTCATCCAGTTCGTAACAGCTGTCATACAATTCTGTATTTTTCAGGAGTGTTTATTGTCGTCCATGGTTCATTCATCTGCGTGCTGCATATATTCATCAGCTTCTGCATCAAGATGGCCTTTTGTTTTAGACATGTACTTATCAAGTTCTTGATCCAACTTGTCTTCTGGGACACTGGCTTATCGCCTCTGCCACGTCCTCGTCCACGCCCCCTAGTTGCCCCTCTAGCACCACGCCCACCACGAGCCCCTCGACTAGCCCCTTGCATTCCACGACCACTACGACCAAACCCTCCCACCTCCCCTTCTACCACGGACACCACCACGCATATTACTACCAAGACCTCGACCCTGTCTAAATCCCACCACCAAAACCACTTCCACGTCCTCCACCACGATTTCTTCCAACTTGAACATTTGGACTAACACCCAGTCCGGTTTTCACAAACCCTTTTACATTTGCACCCTTCCTCTACCTCTGTTTGGTTGAGCCAAGTCTGCTCTTAAGGCTGGACACATTCCTCCCCAAGGGCTGCCTGGACATCTGGTCTGTTGGCCATTTGAGCTGCAAGGCGCGATTCTTCATGCCTGGCTTGTGACATCTGGAACTGATTGCTTCGGACTCCAGTGATGGTAACTTGTGGCGGCGATCTGACTTGCTTCTTGGCCATTTCGGTGAAGCTTCAGAAGATGGATGGAGAGGGGGAATTTGTACCTTGTATTATATGACTGGCTTCAATGCAATTGCACACGCACAAGTATGCTTTCATTTTTCACTCAACACCAAAATTCTAACCAACTTTTGAGCCATGACTTGGCATTAGCAATATTAATTGTGTGGCTTGTATTTGTAGCCATGATCTATTGGCTTGTATTAAGGTCATTTGGATGACACTGAATGAAGCTCATAAAGCTCTTATCTAGTAGCCATAACAAGACTCATGCATGAAGCCAGAAGGTACAAGATTTAATACCATGCACAGCGAGGTACATGGTGAATTGCTCACCGATCATTCAGAGACTTGCTCGTCGTACTCTTGAGGACAATCTTGGCTGGCATGTGAGAAGCCATCTTCTTCTGTTATTAATTCAACTTCCTGCAACTTTTACCAGCAGATAAGTTAGCAAATTACTATTCTTTGTAATTTTAGTGTCGGTTGCATCTGAGCATGGAACAATCTCATTCCCAGAGTCCTTGTTACCTTATCCAGTGGCAGGAACGGGCAACAAGGACCTCTTGGGATAAAGCATTCCACATGTGACTGTCAGAGACAGAATGCTTTATCCCAGAGGTCCTTGTTGCCCATTCCTACAGCTGAATAAGGGTAATGAGGACTCTGGTAACGAGATTGAGCGTGGACACATCTCATGAAAACATCATCTAACATAACTTGTTTAGTATTCAGATATAGCCCCACTTCATTCTACAATTTACAAGTACAAATGTTCAATGGAGGCAAAATCACCCTCTAAATTAAAAGTGCCATGTGTTGGCATGATGGTACATGTAACTACCTTTGTCAAGTATAGATGTACAGCTTGATTTGGTGGAGGATTAATTAAAAATGAAACTATCCACGTCCTTTTAGCTTATAAGTTACAACTTGCAAGCTTCAGTAAGCTTATGTTTACCTATGGCCTATTCACTTTTCACTGTCGGTGATTAACGCTTTTGAAAACCGTAAAACACGTGTAAGAAAGACAAAGATCTTGGTAACTATATCTGCTTTTCTGATTACATCTTATGCCGACTATACACTTCAGTACACTTACAAGATCAACAGACTTACAACCAGTAAACAACTGAAGTCACAGATCGATTATTGCTTGGGTGAGCTATTTGTCCCCCTAAAATGCAATATAAAAACATAATAATAACAGTAATGAAGGTTATAGTTTACGTCTGAGGTTTGAATCCGACGATACAGCGCTCGATGGAGACGGATTGGTGAAAGAAGACCTTGAATGATGAAGGAGAAAGAGACAGAAAGCGAACTCAATGAAGACGCTAAAGCTCGGCCAAGAAAGACTGGGAACGACTGTCTCACGTTTTGCGCGTCATGTAAGCACACCTGAAATGTTACGAAATCATGTACCCGGATCATGTATCAACAATGAGTGAAATTGTTTCCGATGTCGTGCGAAAAGCTTTTGCTTCAGCTTCTAACTACGAGCATGTTCGATCGGAGTATCCTGTAGAGGCAGTGGAGTTTTTGTTACAGAACTTGGTGTGAAAAGCAATGACGCTACGGGCATCAGGGATCGCCCCTTCACGATCTTGAGCTCGGTTTGTGGAACGGGAAAATTCACTAGAGTCATGATAAAAGTGGTTGACCGGCAAGAATGTCCGAGTGATCGCCAGCGAACCTTTGCAGAGCATGTGTGACAATTTAAACTGATGGTTCCTGATACGGAAATTATTCAATGCGCTGCCGAGAAAATACGTAAGTTTACATATCCCGATGGGGTGGTGGTGGTGCTGGGGCCGGGGAGCCTGGGAGGGGGTGGGGTGACGTGGGGTGCTTCCCGAAAACTGGCCGGGGTGTGCCGCTGTACCCAGAAACCCTTAGGGGTGGACCATTTAACTTCTGAGGGGGGTTGGGATGTTAAAAAATATATCCTGCAAGTACACCTGCAAAAATTTGTGCACACGACCACTGCGGAAAAAAAAAATTGCCTGCAAGACACTACCTGATGGGCTGACACATGCAACTTCAGAAAAAAATATCATGCACACACATGCCCCCAAGAAAAAATTTATTGCGCATGAAAGGGTTTGAAAAAAATTGGGCTTATACCAAATCAACCACCCCCCCCCCCCCCCCCCCCCCCCCCTCAGAAGTTAAATGGTCCACCCCTTACCAAGTACCAGATCTCATGAATTTATATTTTTATGACATGGGTGGAGGGCATGGGGGGGGGGGGGGGATTTGACACCTTGTTGTGGGACAGGGGAGGTTTTTGTCCAGCTGAACATATCCTAGCAGTATGCGGGATGTTTGTCACTTTGAACTTAGTTTATATGGCCTAAGCTCCCATGAATCGCCTGTAGCTTAGTGGTAGAGCGTCTGACCGGTGTGCTGAAGGTTATACATGTAGGTTCAACTCCTGTTGGGGAACGCAAAAAAATTCCAAGTACATGTAGCTTGTATCACTGACTGAGTCACATCTTTTCATGCATAAATAATGAGGTGAGGTGGAAAAAGGGCGTAATGACAATATAATGATATTATTATTATATTGTCATAATGCCCTTTTTCCACCTCACCCTCCCTTGTATCTCTACCAAGCTTAAAATGAACCATCATTTATTACACATCTGTTTTATTATTCAGCCCTGCCTGATGCAAGTGTGGATGTTGCAATTGCTGCTCAAAGTTTTCATTGGTTCACAAACCGTACAGCTCTGGAGGAGATTCACCGAGTACTGGTTCCAAATGGGTCCTTTGGAATGATATGAAAATATTGGACTTATCTATTCCCTGGACGAGAGATCTTTGCGATTTTTTGGATATTTTAGATGCAGAAAATTCTCTAGTTTTTCCTCACCGCGAAGAGTGGAAAAAAGTGTTCAACCTCCTCTCACAGCATTTATTCAGTGCCCCAGAGGGAAATGTGAGCTTTGATCATTGCGTGTCAAGCTCTTTTGATCATGCCTATACCATTCGCTTCTTTTTCAATCATAGCTGGCGGCAGTGAAGCAACAAGAAGGCTTTCCAACAATTGTTTAATGAGCTCATGAACAAGCATTTTAAAGAAAAGGAATTCCATTCGATAAGATTAATTATAAATTGTACATGTACTGGTGTCAAAAGGAAATTTAAAGTTTGACAAGACAGTTTTTTTATTTTTCATCTTCGCTAGGTGGGAAATAAGTAAGGTGTTATTGGTCACTTTTAATAGAGACTTGCCTTAGAACCAAAACCGTTTAACAAGTCGTTAGAGTATAGTGGGGAGTATCTTGATCTACCTTATCAGACTTAATTTACAGTAAATTTTTGCGGCTGGAGTTCGATTGACCATACATCATCACGCATTGGCCAGGGGAGGAAACGCAGGATGGTGGACATTAAACTATTTGTAACAAAACAAAGCAAATTAGAAATACGGAATGTTCTTGTTCTTTTTCTTCTCAATTATTTATTGGGAAGAGAGAGAGAGAGAGAGAGAGAGAGAGAGAAGAGAGAGAGAGAGAGAGAGAGAGAGAGGAGAGAGAGAGAGAGAGAGAAAGGAATAGGAGAGCTTGTTGATAAATTAAATCACGACTGGGCACTGTTATATTTGTTTGTGTTATGGTTTGTTTGATCATTCGCATAGAAAATCATAGATTTTTATAAGGAAGTTCATTTTATAGGGCCGTAGTTCCTTTAGGTAGTCCATGGGTACTCCGGCAGTCCAGACCAGGTCCATCGGGGTACATACTCACCCAATAAAAACAGTGCCCCCTAAGTACTACGTACTGTGCGCTAGACTACCTTATTACATGAAATTAATTATTGCGACACGTTTATAATTTCGCGATTTTCAAAAAATCGCGAAATTACGTGTCGCGAAATAAAGGCTCGTGAAAATTAAGTGACGTTATACTGCGGTTAGCTCAGGACTTTGCGACTTCCTTCACTTGTTGCTGTTGGACGCCCCACAACGGTGGTGCGTATCATCACAGGTCACCAAAGCGTCTTATAAGAGTTTGTATGGAGCTGAAATTCGATCGAAAATAATTTTCACTTTTCTTTCGAAAAGTTGTAAATAATGTGAAATAAAGTTTAAAAACATCACCTGTTGTCTTTTCCGGTGTTTTTAATCGCTTCTGGAAGCTGCTTTGGGCGAATTTCGACCTATGCCATCTGCCACTGTTGTGTACTGATAGTACACAACAGTGGCAGATTCGACCGTAGGTCGAAATTCGCCCAAAGCAGCTTCCAGAAGCGATAAAAACACAGGAAAAGACAACAGTGATGTTTTTAAACTTTATTTCACATTATTTACAACTTTTCGAAAGAAAAGTGAAAAATTATTTTCGATCGAATTTCAGCTCCATACAAACTCTTATAAGACGCTTTGGTGACCTGTGGTATCATCAGAACATCGGTTGTATTTCTTGATTTTGAAACTGACCCATCGCTCTATGTATGAGTCTCTCTTTTCCCCCGAAAAACAGTAGCGGGAAAGAAGCGAGTCATGCATATATTCACACTCGCCTCCTACAAGTACGGTATGTATAGAAAATGTGTTTAAACCAAAATATTATAAATACATTCTTTTATAATATACTAACCATGGGATAATGCATTTTCAAGCAATTTGATTGGTTCCCTAATCATGGTCTCAGAGGCAATATACCCTCTCTACCTTATTTGGAAATGCCGCGAAGTTCAAATTTTTTGTCTCGGGGAAAAAATGGCGGAACATTTTCGTATTTTTCCAGTTTCCTCGGAGAAATTCGACATTTTCCCTGTAATTTGTATATTATAAAACAATTATTCGCCTCAGGCTCGTGAATATTGGTGAATATTCCCCTCGACTTCGTCTCGGGGAATATTCACCAATATTCACTTCGCCTTCGACGAATAATTGTTAAATACACCTTGGTTGCAAAGCGAAATATTTCTAATATTTGCATTGTTCCGAGTACCGCATAAACGATATTTTTGTCAAAAAGAGCCGTTGTCAGACAGTGACAATTATAATTACCGTAAAAGCTCTATTAAGCCCCGGGGGCTTATTTAATTTCAGGCCTCGAGAAGGGGGGCTTATTAGAGAGGGGGGCTTAATAGAGAGGGGGGCTTATTTCAAATCATAAATTTTCAAGAAAATTCACATTAATTTTTCAAACTTTACTATTGCACTACTAACTAAAACAGAACAAGAAATGGGTTATGTATGACCGTCTTACAAAGGAAACGTCATTTATACCCAACTCGACGATAGTTCTGGAAATTAAAGACCACGTTTCAATACAAAGTGACTGAAACGTCAGAAAATATTGCTGAAAAGTCATTATCATCAGCCTGACGGAAGGAGGGGGGGCTTAATAGAGAGGGGGGGGGGGGGCTTAATAGAGAGGGGGGGGGCTTATTACAAAATCTGACTTCCAAAGGGGGGCTTATTAGATAGGGGGGGCTTAATAGAGAGGGGGGCTAAATAGAGCTTTTACGGTACTCTCAAGAGAAAATAAGGAAAAAATAAATGTCCCTTATATTCGCTTGCTACTCTATTATAATTTTGATATTGTTTTAAAAGAATGATAGGATTTAATATTTGTTATTAGTGATCAATAATGTCTTGGGTTTAGATGTTGTTCGCCGGCTGTTAGGGTTGAAAATATATAATTATAGCATCCTAGAATTGTACGTGCAGAATCTCAAGTTGTTCAGTTGCTCCTGACTTCGCCTGACTTGTGGATCATCTCTTCGCCAGCAGAAAAGCTCGCTACATTCAGATTTTAAACAATATGAATATGCTATTATTTCTCGTCTTGTTGATGTACATTGCAGTGGGTGAGTGTATTTATTTGATCACAAATTTCAGTTCGTCTTAGCTTAGTGTTCTAGCTTCGCATGATAACCGTCCGTAACGTCTCGTTGCTAAACGGTTTTTGATAAAAGATCCTACAAAATTTCAGTCTCTTTTTAGTGCTGATTTGTTTTACTTTATTTGACATGTAATTGCTTCAACGGTTTGAAATTCTGATCCTTATACGAAAATATCTGATATATTGTTGCAATGGACGGTTCAGTTTATTATGAGTACAATTTTATTTCAAGACAATTGACAAATAGTGGCTTTATTCGCATGACCATAAATTCATGTAGCATTGCAAAAGCATACACTACTTTATAACAAAAAGAACAAGATATAAGAACAAGTATAATGTTGATACGGGAACTAAGTTACATCAGTCTGAATTGATCAGAACATTTCACTGAAGATACGCTACGTTGCAATATTTTATAATTAACAGTGGCTGAACAAATAATTATTGCGTGGTGCTAAAAAAATCCTTAATTTCGGCGAAATAAATTTTGATATGATTGTGATAGAACTAGCCTTCCCTTGTCGGTCCTTGTTGGCATGGCACTGAGAAATACCATGACGTTTCCACTGATTCACCGCAAAGCAACTACAGGCTCACATTTTGTTTGTCGTATATTGACCAAAGTCAGTAGGCGAAAACCAAATGAACGAGGCTCAGTATAATTATATCCACTTCTATGAATCATGGTCAAAAAATGACGAAGCCGGAAGAGCAATGTAATATGTCTATCCCCATAACATGTTTTGTTTCCCATCCGCCCTCTCTCTCGTGAAAGTGGGTCGGTAAAAAGAAAAAAAAAAGGAAAAAAAAGAAAGAAAAGCCGAGAAACGAAATATTGACTAATTAATACATAAATAATTCCAAGCTGGCCTTGATTATATCTTCCCCGTGACCACCATTTTTAAACGAGCCGATATCACTCTGAAAGGTGTTCGAAGAGGTCATTACTGGGCTGATTTAGATGTCAGAGTGACTTTAAGATGTAAGCAAAGCATATTAAGCTTGGAAATCGGCCCGAGAAAATGGCGTAGGCAATGAATCAGAAACTTTTTTTTAAACTTTTTGGAAAAATTGGGTCGATCGGGCGATGGGAAACAAAGCATTTTATGGGGATGGCCTAACAAAAAGAACAAGATATAAGAACAAGTCAGTAATGCTGATACGGGAAACTAAGCTACATCAGTCTGAATTGATCAGAACGTTTCACTGAAGATACGCTACAGTATTGTACGTTGCAATATTTTTAACAGTGGCAACAAATAATTATTGCGTGGAGTTAAAAACATCCTTAATTTCGACAAAATAAATTTAGATATGATTGTGATAGAACTAGCCTTCCCTTGTGGGCATGGCACCCCCGGGGGGACGGGGGGGGAGGGGCATGGCACTGAGAAATATCATGACGTTTCCACTGATAAAGGCTTATGTGCTTCACCGCAAAGCAACTACAGGCTCACATTTTGCCGGTTTGTCGCATATTGACCAAAGTCTAGGCGAAAACCAAATGAACGAGCCACTTCTATGAATCATGGTCCAAAAATGACGAAGCCGTAAGAGCAATGTAATATTAGTTACAACATCC